AGATGATGATGCCATATTACATGAGCAAGGGAGAAGGAGAAACAGCTGTGTGAAGGGGCGAAAAGGTGTGAAATTTGCCAAAAATGGAGGTTTTCAGCTTATTACATATGTCAAATGATGTCAGAACAGGATGGTAGATGGCTCATTCAACGAATTAGAGGTGATTACATAATGTACAAGCTTTAAATCATTTTTAACAGAGGTGTGTAACAAATGTTATAAGAGAAATAAGAAACTGGTGTGAATTTTGAATTTTACACTTACATGCATACATGTAACAACATTTACATACAAAAACCTTAGCTTCACAACTCAATAACTCATTCATTACTCATCAGAAACACTTGATATGATGCCAATTATTGATCAGTATCATGAGATCTACAAGATGCACTTTATTAATCCAAAATTGGACATCATTTGGAAAAATTTGTAATCTCAAAAATAGGTTTTCAGCTAGCTTACAAGGAAAAAAACACCTGTATTCATCATAAGGAGTGCTGTACATCATACAACTATGTCATTCATCACTTTTGGCTGTGTAAATTGAATCATACATTAGTAACAAAGTCATTACATTGTGTCATCATATGGTTTTTTGGGTTTTTTGGGCGGAATTGATTGGTTTTTGAGGCTGTTGACCATTGTAAAAGTTGTAACACATTATTATATAGACTCTAGGATGATTTTGGGATTGTTGTTTCCCTTTTTTCTCTATCATTTACAAAATTCTCAGCTTTTTTATCATCATAAACTTATTTTAATAGTACATGGTCACTTAAATACGCCCTTGATTATAGCTATAAAGAGAAATTTACTTTAGTGTTACAGTCAAAAAGACTTAATGGGAATAATATCAAAAAGATATTGCTTTATTTTCTTAGTTATCATATTGGAATAACACTATAGCAGTGTTGAGAGTAATTAAAATTGTGCTTTTGAGATAAAATTTGTGTGTTTGGTCCTTTAAAAAGATATATTTCTCTGGTACCTTTTCAGTACTCAATTCAACAGAGTTCCCCTTTCTGATTGTCTTGTGTTAGGAGGGAAGTCAGAGTCTTTAGACATCTTCTACTAGTCTCTTTTATAGTAGATTATCCCCTCCACACTCTGTATAACCCTTGTTGGGTTATAAGTTCTACACTGCATGGGGGTTATTTGGCCTGTGAACTTGCAACTCCATAGTTGCATGTGCCACATCATCAACCTGGTGATGTGATGATCTTATTTTTGCACTCTTGAAACATGGACAATGAAGCCAAGGATGGCTCAGGCTGCCAAATTTTACATGGAATAGCACATATTACCCAACTTTCCTTTGACCAGATTTTTTCCGTCTTGAATCTGATAATAGGGACTGGGCAAGGTTTTGACTGACAGAGGATTTAGCCACCTCAATAAGCGCATGAATTCCCTGGAAGCCGACCAAAGTTATTTATACAAACAGGAGGTGTCACAATTTCTCCTGCAAGCCCAAGAGCCCCGACTACAAGATGATTTCACCAAAACCAAAGCCAGAGCAACCTGTGAAAGGTATATCGGGCTGTCCAGAAGCGTTCTGCCATAGGCTTTCGGCTTAGGTGGGAGGGGCAAATTTGAATAGACAGCTTGTCTTAGGGAGGGTCATGGCTGTGCGCCACCCTATTTTTTTAGTGCCATAAAGCTTACTAAAAAACTGTTTGCAACTCGCTTTCAACTACGGTTGAATTGTGATTTTGCAGAGCTTTGCCCAGTCCCTAATGATTGGTCGCTGCTCCACCTCTCAGAATATGTTCTTTAGTGTCTTTAGAAAACCTTGCAATTTGGATCAAGTAACTCATAGACTCATACATCATGATTCCAAAAAATACTACTCAACATTTTGCATATTGGCTTGACCCTTGCATTCCCACCATTGCAGGATGTGATCATCACAGCCATCTGAAACACGTTACCAGTGGAACACGTTACCAGAAGCATCAATGATGATTGGCCAGATTTTAGTGTGACAATATAAGACGGTTGACACTTTGATTGCTTCATTTCTTGAAACATTGAATCCAGGCACCCAAGAAGCTCTGGCATAAACCGTCTGATCTTTTGACTTTCCCTCATTAAGACTTCTTCTTCACGTAAATCCAATCCACTTTACCCAAATTCAACAATTTGCAAGACATCAACTATCCATTACCTTAGCCAGCTCCTGATATTTTACCTCAATTAAAACATGTCTTTGTCTAACAATCTGTCTCAGCCTGCCTCGCAATCCAAACATGACAATGTTGCAGAGACCCTCAAGAGTCCACAATCATGCATAGGTAATTACACTTGTCTAATATTAACATTATCATTTAAATACTGACTTCCGATTTCCTTCATATAGAAACAGACTTCTTCATAGGTAATCATATTGGTCAAATATCAAAATAAATGTTTGGATAATGACTTATGATTTTCTGTCTCTTTCGCACCCGAATTCTAATTTGCTTGGGTCATAGTTGTGTTACGCGCTGACAACAGTTTGATGGCAGTGATCCATACCAATAGCCCTAAGACAAAGACTGTTGAAGCATTTGCAACATTCAATACCCAACATTGTCCGATTGGGTTGCTTGGACTTCTGATCATCAATTCAGGAGGATGCGAAAACGTATCTTTGACACCTTTCGCTTTTGATCAGTTAAATTCCTCTTGCTTGATAAGCTTGGTGACCATCTTCTTGCCCAGGACCACACTGGTATATTTTGCAGCTGTCCCCAAATTCAAAAGACCCCGCAATTCCGACCCAGTAACTCATACATCACGATTCCGAACTAAACCACTCAATATTTTGCCCAACGCTTCAACCCCCCGAGCTTCCCATCACCGCAGGACGTGAACAATCCTCACAGCCATCTATTGTAACGTGTTCCCAGAATACTGGATGCTGATTGGCCAGATTCCAGTGTGATGATAATTATCATCGCGTGGTTGATAATTGTTGATTTTATGAGACGGTTAACGCTTTGATCGCTGAGATCTATGTGGCATTCAGGCACCCACATAGTTCTTATATAAAGCAACGAATCTTTGAAGTTCCTTCATAGGTCAGACTTCTTCCTCGATCAATCCACTTCCATCACAATTTTCAAAAACAAACATCCATTGTTTAACCCACTCTCCAATCACTTCAATAACTTTACTCAACGTAAAAATGGCACCATCAAACTTCATCGCCCAGTCTACTAAAGAATCTAACAGTATCAATGTTACAGAGCATATCAAATCTTCACAAGAATATACAGGTAATCACAATCTCCGAAAATGAACATTAACAATCATACTGACTATGTATCTTCCCTCATCGTACAACCACCACTCCCAAAATTCCCTAATACTTTTTCCAAAATATGTATAGACAAAAGCTCTCTTCATCCGGTTCGATTTTCGAAATTAGATGATCAACGTAATACGTCGAAGATTTCAAGATCACCAGACGATCACATAACAGAAAAGCTTTTGGCATTAAAAATACAACGGCCTGCTCACTCTTTACAAAAACCGACCAGGCAAAGAAAAGCTACCGTCAGCCCTTACCATCGCAAGTCGCCAATCACGCCCCCTCGTACCCCAGAGATATCTAGGAAGTCGTTAAGGATGCCCAGAAATCCTACTGTGAAATTCGAAAAGAAGGAGACTATCAATGGGAAAGCTACCCAACACAGTATCTTCCGCATAAACGAGTAAGTCACCTACGAAAGATGATTAAGTTGTTATCAAATTTCCAAAAGTTGAATTTCATCACTGATTAACTCTGTGCTTTCCATCTTTTTGCCTCTAGGTGAATCTCTCGAGATGGAGAGATAAAGACTTGATATCTTCCTTTTGATATAAACCTTTTTGTAATCCTGTAGTGTGTCGTCATATTTGTATCAGTAAAATTTGTACCAAGAGTGTTTTTTGAAGTGCAGTAAAAGCTGGCATATTTTGCTTTTTTGTGTTGGAAAGGACTTGATTAATTTTTGTTCAGCTCATTGATATCATATAATCCCAACAAAGAATTCAGTATTGAAATAATGCGAGCACTTTCAGCAATGAAAACAAAATCTTTCCATTACATCCATGATCCAAGTTCTGTGCGCTCACATGAATGACTTTTCACAAAAAAGAAAAAGTGTCACGATGCGTAAACTGATTGAATCAGTATAGACAGAAAGACTATTCAAGAATTCACTTGTTCATGGGAACTACATTGCCTTGAGTTCAACTCAAGAATATGAAATCTTCAATCAGAATGTATACCAATGTCATGGACAAAAAACACTTTCAGGGAGCAACAACTCACGCCTTTGCTACACCAACAATTTTGAGCCAGTATATCCTATTGTGCTTCCTTCTCCTCACTCCAAGTCTCTACCCAGTCTAAATGAGATGTGATTGTATTATCCGTTACTTTCATCTTGCCTGGTAAGCTCAAAATTCAAAAGACCCTGCAATTCTGACCGAACAACTCATACATCATCATTCGGAATCAAAGTACTCAATATTCTTCCCGAAGGCTTGAACCCTCGTGATTCTATTGTTGCACGACGTGATCGATTGATGGCCAGATTACAAGTCACGGTGGTGACCATCTAGAGGTCCACTCGCAAGGTGTACCGTTCCATTCCTTTCCTAAGGCTAATGTATATTGGCTCCCCTTAATCTGCTTAACCTTCTGATCTCAACTAATTCTTGCGTGTCTTGGTCATTTCATTCGATCACCCTCCTGGATTCCACGTCAAATACGCAGCAGTAAATCAACGTATATGACTTGTACGGTGAATACCACTGCGTTTTTCAATCAATACTGCATACATAATCTGTTTGAGGTAAGCTGGAACATCTCGGCATATGTAAGATCATCTTCCACATCTTGGTTTCTATATTTAGGCATTTGTTCAATCAATTGCGTATGGTCATTGACGTGAAGTTGAGACTTACCACCAATCACTAGACCAGCTATCAACATTGAACGATCAATGAAAGGACAACTCAATATAATGATTTTGACTTGCGCTCATTTCATGGTACCATGGTGGTACTTTATTACCCCTACCTATGCCATGAACCTGTTTTACTCGGGAGGATCAGAAGCTGTGCAGGATGGTAAGTCTACTTTCTCAAAATTCAAATTCTGACATCCATGCAAAGATGTGGTCCCTCACCTTAATGGCGACATTCTTTCCATACACACATCTCGCAATGAAGCTTGGCGTGTGGCTCCTGGCTTAACTGAAACAAGCTCAAAAGACAAACTTGTACATGATCTAGAGAGGACCCTGGAGGGCTGGCACCAATCTCCTTCTCTTCCTGCTGGTATGCCATAATTCTAGATAGACAACACACATAAATCAAAAGAGAACAAAACTGATAATCCCTGAACCCATGCACAGCTGAAGTAGATTCACCAAAACTGATTAAGAGTATGTTAAAGTCAGAAATGGAGACATGGCCTAGATACATTCATGATATATTGAAAACTAAAACATCATACAAGATAATACCTTTCTGGTCATTTCTTGTTGTAATTTCTGAATTTATGTCAACACCAATTCTACAAAAAACTTTTTTTGAATTTTCAAAAGAGAATGAAAGGTTACTAAAAGATCAAGTGTGGGAAGATTATGAGAATAAAAAAATGTTAAAATATGTTTTGAACAAATATGAGATCAAAATCAAAGAGCATGTTAACTTACTTAAACAAAAAGAGTATGTCAAGATAAGAATACACAGTGCTTATATCTAGTATTGGTCTGATTATATTATATTTTAATTTTTTCTCACAGTAAGCCTAAAGAAGTCATTGATATTTTCACAAGAGATGCGCAAGAACACCTAGGAGAATACAAGATTTGTCTGGAGAAACAGTGGTCTTCAAATGCAGAGGTAGAGCTGTACAGAAACTGGGCTTCACGTGAGGAATATTCATGCTTCTAATGCACAATAAAATGAAACTAACATTCACTATGTCTTAATGCAAGACTTGAGTGTGTATATCAATGTGAAAGGTGCGGTCAAGGCAGCTCTTGAGACCCAGGCAATTCAGGTCAGCTGGATAAAATTTGGCAAATTGAATGCTTTGGGTTATGTTGGAGTACCTTATGAGATAAGGGAACCTTTTAAGGATGGGTTGAGTAAACAGTGTCAAGCAATTACAAGTGAATTGGTAGACTCTATTCAGTTGCTAAATGATAGGTGAGTCTGAATTCAAACTGTCTCAAGTATTTCAGGCCCAAAGACTGACTTGAATATATTACTTTGTGTCCCTAGATCATTGTTGGAATTTTTCACCTATCAAGCAGAATATGATTATGGCATCTATGATCAGTATTTCATAGAGCCACATGATGATATAAGAAAAACTCTAGTCTTCTGGGTAAAATGTGAGTGATGTCCTTGGCTATAATTGTGAAATACCCAAATTTCCTTTCTGATCCTGAAAAAACCAAAAACAGATATGCCTTTCTATCTTAAAATGAGAATGAATGAAGATACATGGAATTGGCAGTGTCTTATGGAGGCAATAATTGTATCAGACCCTAAGGGAGATCACTTGGAACCCATCATGCAGAAGTTTTTGAGACTCCCACCACCCTCAAGCACAAAGAAGAACTTGATAGTTAGATTCCTGGAATTTCTTTTGAAGAAAACCAAACATGGAGATCTGAGAGAAGTTGCACAACAAGGGCTTGAGGAGATAAGAGCTTCTCCTGTTCCTTCATTTGCAAAACATCCAAAATAATATCATGATGTAAGGTAGAATTATGTGTATCCTGTAGGGCTACACATGTTGACAGAAGGGCTAGTCATCTCCTACAATGGGCATAATTGTAGGCTTGCAAGTTGTTCTCCGTTGTGCATTCTTTCCTATATTTTCTCCTCTTATCACTGTGGCCATTTGGTTATCTGAGAGTCTTGTTCTGGTGTTCTTTTGAGTTCTTTCTAGCCCCTGCATACGCATCAATGTGTCCCGATCCCGAATTGGGAGCACGCTCAATTGAAATGATCTGGAATTATTGCGCATAAATTCTCAATGCTATGTATAGGGAATTTGAGTTTATGAGAAACATGAAGGACTTCTTGATTGGGATAAACATTCCCCGCCAACTATCTTCAATTGTAATATGATGATCTTCGCAGATAATTTTCAAAAGTCTTGGTCATCTCGTACTCAAGAGCTCCTCGACTTCTTTCAGAAGGTTAGACGACGATGATCGAGTGGATATCTGTCTTAATAATCTTTTTACAAGTGGTCCAGACCTCACATGCGTCTCTTTTTACCATTATTTACAAAAACGACAAGAGGTCAGTGGAACCATACATGAGGGTAGGAAGTCAAGCAATCAAAAGAAAGTCCGGCGGAAATAGACTGACGTGTGAGTGTGTCCAGAGACTTAAAACATGACACCAATGCCGTTGCAATGGTCTTCATAGCTTCAGGTCGTCCCGACAACGGACAACACCCGGAGTAATCTTCAATCGATTTGGAACATGAGGACAACGCTATGCCTGAGTGATTTTCCTCGGAAGCATTCCAAACGAGGTTTTCTGACCTATCTCTAAGCGCGTGGAACAGGAACATCCGCTGCGGATCATACGGTGGAAAGCGATCAATAGCGGTGCGAACAAACTCTGCCATTACTGTGCCTAAAAAAAGTCGAGCCAGTCTCAGTTTTATTCAATTTCATGTCAAACAAAAGGAGAGCGAGGATATGCGACTTTAATTAGTCACCTGGATCATCCCCATCAAGTTTATTCATTTCCAATAGAGTATCAGATACCAAATGCAATTCTCGTGAATTAAATTCCCAACTGCATCCCTCTGCGCTCTCGATAGTGACCAGCAATCTTGAGGCCGCGAGTTTATAGCTATCTATATCCTCGGAGGGAGATGATATGAGTTGAAGTAAACTTGTGACAAAACCGAGTGGTTGAACAAATTTGAGATCTACGTGATTTTTACAATAACGAAACCGTCCCAAGCTAGGCGTCAGCTTGATGAACATGCAAAAACATCGTCAAAGAAAGATCTGTTGGTTTACCAAATTGATTCTCTGCCCAAAAATTCAAGAAATCCAAACAATCCGTAGCCTCACTCATGTAGTTCGTATCTTCAGTCTTGATAGACTCCATTGATTGTTGCACTACCGACAGGGTCTGATTGAGAAACTTATGAAGGTTCTTTTGAGCTTTTTGTAGAAAAAATGTGATATCTTTTGAAGGTAACCCAATGACCTGGCGTATGAAATAACGTTTCTCTACATGACATCGAAACAAATTATGTGAGCTAAATAGACTCTTTGTGCTTGTTTTTAAAAAAGTTGAGAATAACCATACCTGGAAGGTCAAAGACGTTCTCAAAGAGCCTCTGAAGAGCCTCCACTACTAGTCTCGAGAGTCTCCCTCTCCCATCGACTGTGGAATTTTCAAATTTGTCTTGATTACGTGTTCGTTCATGGATATCCAAGAGAATGCTGAAGATCGAGCGCCAGATCCGATTCCATGTAGAGGGGCTCAAGCCTTCCGGAGGGCTTAGACCAAAGAAGAAGTTCTTCGGATTTCCAGCGGAGGATAAAACCGGATGTACTTCAGATTTTTTCAACCTGATCAGAACTAGTGTACCGCGTTTCTACTCAACTAGAAGTACTTGTAAGCCGATGCCATCGTTATTAGATAGTATCGTGATGATCTCCAAGTTCTTGTCCGTGTCATTTGATCCTGATGCTTTTGACAGCGCGTTTGTCGAGGGGAGTCTGGGTGCAATGAAATATTCCAAAGAAGGTGGCGTGAACTGGGTGAGAATCCATAACGTTGTCTATTCACCAAATCGCCAAAAAAATAAGCAATTTTTTTGAAACACAACATATAAACCCATCCGCCTACAAGACATCCAACCCACTTTGTCTCAACATCGGGACAAAAGTCGGCATGTAACCAGACCCATGGCATCATCTCACCTCCATCAGAAAACAGAGTGTTCTGCGCTGTATTGAGTTTGATATCACCAAGCAGATTTTGAGGGCTAGGAAAAAGGGATATGAACAAAATCCAGATCTTTCTGATTGTGACAGGCTTGAAAAGCTGGATCTTGTGAATTTGATACCTACGCAAATACTGACAAATCCGATGAATCAGCAAGATAGTGTCTGAGAAAAGGCGAAGTGTTGATTGATTTGAAGCTTACGCCATATAGGCAAAGAATTTGGGAAACAGATATCTGAGAGACGCTAATATTCTCATCGAGTGAAGTGATGAAGCTTGCAAGTTGATCGCATGCTTGATCAGGTTGGAATGGGCTCCAATTATCCAGACAACAGAGACAATATAATAGAGACAAGCAAGCTAATTTGATCTCATAGCTCAACTTATCATTGCGAGGTATTGAGGAAAACAGAACATCCATCAGTTGTTCTTGGTCAGTCGGGATCCGTACGACAAGCTCAATGGTTTGATGCGACCAGGAAGGGCAAGTTTGAAGAGCAGCCGACTGAGGCAAGTTGTTTGATATATCGCCGTTGATGTAGTCGATCACAGAAGCAATCAGTACGTCTGGCAAGGTGGCCATCGCAGACGCACTGTGACGGGGTTTGCTACCAAGTGCCAAGGTTCGAATGTGATCTCTGAGGGAAAAAAGCGACCGTATGAAACCTTGATTGACTATCGTTGTGGGGACACGAGTTTTCACATCTTCAGTTGAATTGTTGGAAACCGCGTTTAATGGGAAGTAGCTCACGTATTTTATTCAACAGATCGACCAGACGAACTTTCATTGGTGGAGACATTATCGTCCACTGTTCATAATCACCAATAGTTTCTTTGGAAGCAACAAGAAACTGGACTATTATAGAACCCGAGATGGTCAACTCAGATATCTTGCTATTGCTCATCTGAAACCGATACATGCGAAGTCCCATCCGTCAGTCATCAAATCAAATTGATAGATACTTTCGGTCTGCTCACTGGTTCTTGGAAGTTCGTGAAAGCGTTGATCGCGGATTCCAAATCAAAAGCATCGACCTTTTGGTCCTCTTGGAGGCTTCCTAAGAGATGTTCGACTAACTGAACCGGAGGTAATCTGGTTTCAGGCCCCAAGTCTGACTCTGTGACGATGTTTTTCGACATGTTAAATTCCGCCAAAAAATGGAAATGTAAGGATATTTTGAAGATATCATTCAAATGATATGAATTCTAAACTGCTTGACTGTTTACCATTTCTGGTTCATCTCTACTCCAAATCTTGATTCTCATGACGAGTTGATCTTTCATGACTTCAAGTGATCACATCAGAATGACGTCACATATGTATCACATCTGATTGTATGCATGATGCCCCGAGCCCCGATCGGTCTTGACTGTTCAAACTTTGCTTTCAGTGTTTGACCACTGGAGTTGAGACCTTCGAAATTTCCTAGCATCACTCTCGCTGCATCGTCTACTCTGTTGTGTCCTAAGGATATCAGGATTCTCCTCGTGACGAACATAAAATCAGAACAAAGACAGGTACAGCACATTTGACTGGAAGAGAATACCCAGACCTGATCGCTGGTAGATGGTTTTTACCAAACTTATGTGAAGATGACGATGTGATCAACTCATGAGATCTCTTCCTTTTCGAATTATGTCCTTTCCAAGTCTCAGTTTCTCTTCACTCGAGAATCATTCAAGCTGGGCTAGGAAGAGTGAATATCTTTTGGACGTCTCAAGATATCAGCTAAACCGTAACATATACCGCCATGCAAGAAGTCGGACCAATGTCGCCTTATAAAGATCCATGGGACTCTGAGTCTCAGCCCGAAGGAAACACTTTGAGGTCCCCGACTGGTCGTCACTCATCCGTACACAATGACATTCCGATCAACGCTCATGACGTGGCGAGTGCGGCTGAGACTCGTAGGAAAACTGTCAATCCGATTGCCTCAACGGATGGGGGTGCTGCAATTCGAAAGAGCTTCGTCCAGCTAATAGAAGGACAACTTGTGGAACGTAATGAGAAGGCGGTGGTACTTGAAGCACTCAAGACAATGGAGAAGATCACTTCGAATGTGTTGAAAAATCCAGGTGAAGCTAAATACAAGACAGTCAAACACTCGAACGAGTTGATCAAAAGAAACATAATCAATGTAGCAGGTATGGGGCGTTTTTCATACTCAATCAATAGTGCTCTACGTAAAAGAGTTGTGGACTAAGTTAAATTTACCGTACTGCTTACCAGGTGCCCGAGATTATCTACTTGCATGCAAATTTTCGGCAGGCGTAAAGGATCATGTCGAGACTTTAAACTTTCCTGAAAACCCATCGGAGCGAATCCTAGAGGTCTTGGCCATTGGTCACCAGATACTCACCAAGAAAATCTCTGATATCACTCAAGCCCATGAGACTGCCATTCGAATGAAGCAAGCCGAAACTGAAGCGATCAAGAGACAAAAAGCTTTGGCACTCAATAACATACAGGAGGATCGAGAGCGTCAGAAGTTGAGACTTGTTAGAGAAAAGATGGCCAGAGAGGCTAAGGAGAAAGAAGCTGAATCGAACAATGGACAAGGTGATTCTGACTCATAAGTTTATGTGGATGAGTTATAAACTTTTCCCTTCGAAAACAGTGCGATCCTACTCTATCGCTCCGGACTCTTATCTTATCTTGTCTGTAGCACAAAACCTATTATCTCAATGCTTACTTATTCAAAACAACATGTCAGTCCACGTTGTCCCGGTGTGAGCTCAAGCATATCAAACACATCAGTTGTACAAAAAAATGTCGGAAAAACCTGATCGTCCATCTCATTGACCAACCAATGTTATCGAGTGATTCCCCCGTGATCAATGAACAAACCGGCTCAGCCTCAATCTCTTGCAAGCTACTTGTTGAACCTTTATCTCCAAATTCACAAATATGGCTTTTCCACTTTTGTCAATATTACTGATTTACCTGTCTTGACCCAAATATGTGGATGATTCATTGACTTTTTGTCTGGAATTGGATACAGATGACTGCGTAGTGAAGCCAAAGGGAAATTGAATGAAGTGAAGATACATCACAAGCTTTTTTTAGTCCGAGGATTTTTGGTTTAGCATAGTATATACACTGTACACAGAGTAAGATTGTTCTTGATGAACAAAGACAAATCCTTCATGATTTCCATTTAGTAAGTCATAATTATATTCCTTGTTGAATGAAAAGCGATTTGACAACGATTGAAATATCAAGGACATGAAAATGATATGGCTGACATTTTACCTTGAACAAAAATTTGACAACATCAAAGTAAAAAAAAATGTTTGCTTCCTTTCCTGCTTATCTCTTCCTAAACTTAAAACCTTCATACTGAGAAGAAAAAGACAAGCATCAATCATACTCCCCAATGAGCTTTCAGAATTTCATAAATTGACATGGAGATAATATTTGAAGGGACCTAATAGAGGATCATAACACTTTAACTTATCAGATTCATCATAAAACAATTATATCAAAAACAGGACGAACCATGTAAGTCATTCTAGCCAAAGCCCCACGAGTAAAACCTTTTGGACCACCTTCTTTCCAAATCCTATTCAAAGCCGAACGAATCGGACCAACAGATGAAGAAGCATTATGGAGACCTCCAGAAGTCTGAACTGTACTTTGAAGTACTGCAATCGGATGAGTCAGACCAGCAGAGACCATACAACTTAGAGCAGCGCAAAGCGAATATCTAGCTGTTAGATTTGTTGTTCCTTTGTGCAAATCTGAAGTTTGATCTTGGGTGTGTGTTGTATCGGTTGGATTATATGAAGGGATGAAAACTGATTTGGTTTGTTCATAAACTGGCCAATATAGAGCTCTATAGATTAAAATGAACATGCCAAAATCAGTTTCTTGACTTGCAATATAGACATTTCTGGAACAGTGGGTGTCAGTTTGATGACTAACGTGTATGGGCTAGTAAATGTAAGTTTTCCCGGGTGAAATGATTTATTGATCGATGAACGTCATGGAGAATTATCAGCTGTGTGTAATCTTACTTTCCATTTTTGATTTAATGAAGGTACATACCCATAAACTGCCAAAGAAACAGTGTATCCCTATAAGACATGAACCAAGTAGAAAAAGTTCATTGATCATGATCAACGTTGAATTTGAAAATCACTTATACGATGCAGCACATACCCTCCAGATTCCTCTAACACCTTCAGTCTTGGCAATCTTTTTCAATAATTTGATGCCAGAAGTTCCTTCATTACCTTTCTGTAATCGACTTTTGGTTACTTCCATTGGAGTCCTGTAAATAAGATGATAGTATTCATGAGTGTCTCCATATGGTTTTCAAGAAATAGCGTGTAGGAAGAGAGAGGAAGTGGATATGGATTTTGAATATATATGAAAATCGAAGGCACACATGCTGACCATACCCAACCAGATACGACTGAACACACAATCAAAAACCCCGGAAAATGGTAGTGTCAATGAGATTTTGTAAAATTATAAAGTAAACAGAAAAATCTGTATCCAAAAACTTACTTTCGGCAGATAAACCTGAGAGCATATAAGCAGGAAACTGTTCGATCATCGAAGGTGGTGGTAAACTTGAAGATCGATTAGGATCAATAAAGATCGGAGTCCAAAACCGTTTAGCCACTAAAAATCAAAGACTCCCATCTGATGAGTTTCAAAAAAATAGGTCAATAAGAAATGAAAATTAAAAATACCTTCATAAGATGATAAATAAATAGATAAGGCGGGTACACTAAAAAGTAATGCAACTGGTAAACCAGCATATAGCTCAGAAGCTGATGATGGGATAATTTGACGTAATGAATTGGGTGAAGAATTTAATTGAGTTTGAATTCTAAGTCGAATGGTATCAACTATACTTGATGAAGAAAAAAAAAGTGAAATGATTAAATACTGATCTTCTCAAATCTGTAAACAATGAAGAAGACTCCAAAAAGAAAAAGAAAAAGAAGCTGACGTGGATGGGTGATGAGACGAGCTGCTGCTGCTGCTATACTAGAAGAAGCTAATGATTTAGGTTGAATTAAGAAAGTTGAAGTTGATGAGTTTTGGTTGATGATGGTTTCATTTTGATCTGATAAAGTTGAATTGGATGTTTTGTTCATTGTGGTCTTGAGATGGTCTTGAATGGTCTTGAATGGTATATGATGAATTCTTCTGAGTTTTCCTTTCAAGCTTTCTTCTTGCAATCATCCATATGTTGATGTCAACTTTGGTCGGAGTAGCAAACCTTCTCGCCGATCAAGAACCCAGGTTGGAAAGCCGGGTACACTCGGCCGGTTGGGCTACAGCCGGGTCTGAAACATGTCGTTTATGACACACATCCTCACTGCCCAATTGTCATGGATCTTGAATTCAGCAAAGTCCCCCCTCTTGGATCTCTGCTTTGGCTCACATTTTTTAGATATCAAACAAAACTTTGAAAATTGAAAGCTGGCACGAGGTCAGTCCCAAGGAAAAGGAAAAAGAGTCCAGACATCAACCTTTTTGGTTTTCCTAGGACTGAAGTTATCCAATCATCCTGTGTGAAGATCTCAAACAATCAAAGGTTTATACATTGATTGTAAAAAAGACAAGAACATGAAAATAATACAAAATCGAGTTAAAGATCAACAAAACAAAAAGTAACCATCAACATATATAAGAGATATCAACACGATTTCTTCAACGATGAGTTGGCATTGAAACATCAGCTCGATTTCCAACTGCATCTGATGCTCTCCATAAAGCAGTAGTCGTCTTTAATTGAGTCCAAAATCCGATTCCACTGAAATTACATTATTAAATTGAAGAGAAAAGGTAAAAACCAATCATCAGTCAAATTTCTTTCTTAACAAGTTCTATTGGTATCAAGACTTACAGTTTTCCATAAAGTGAATGACCACCTAATACACTACCTTTATTACCACTCCATGCGAACATGGGCAAAGGTACAGGAACAGGTGTGTTGATACCGATTTGACCAGCTTCAACTTCTCGTTCAAATCGACGAGCAGCTGCCCCATCACGAGTGAAGATCGCTGTACCATTACCATCTAAAATCATTCACTTTATTGAGTTTTATGACATGGATTCTAAATTGACTGGAGTAAAGATTTCGGACACTTACATTTGTTGGAATTGATGAGCTCAATAGCTTCATCTAAACTTCCTACGTTGATCACAGTGAGTACTGGTCCAAAAATCTCCTTTCTGCCGAGAATCATAAACACAGAATTGAATGTTAAATCAGTCAACTCTATAGAATCAGGACATGATATGGAAATCGGGTTTCACTCAACTCATAACAAGTCATGCCTGTTTTTCCTTCAATGATGGTAGGTCCCACCCAATTTCCATCCGGATAACCTTCTACTTTGATATTACGACCATCAAGCAAGATCTTACCACCTTCTTTCTCAGCTGATCCAATCAGTTCTTCAATATTTTTCTTTGCTTGAGGAGAGATTACTGGACCTCTATGTCCGAACAATTTCAAAATTCGGAATCAGTTAGCTACAAGTCAAATGAAATGGACTTTGGATCAATGAATTTACATTTCTGTTTTATCATCCATACCATTGCCTACTTTCAATGACTTGGCTCGTTCGACAAGTTCAGATATCCAAGTTGAAGATTCTCCAACAGTGATCATTACTGATAGAGCCATGCAACGTTGACCAGCAGCTAATTCAAAGAGAAGGATCGACGAGCTTGAGTCAAAGGGTACAAAGAGCTTAGTTGATCGAATAATTCTTACTGACCCCCAAATGCAGCTCCCGCGATCGCATTCAGGGTCGAATTTCGAGCAGCATCCGGCATAACAACACAATGATCTTGAAAGTATAATGACGAGGTTAAAAGATAGATCATTGACCCGTTAGTATTCCTGTCACCTTATGCCAGGTTCCGGATCTCATCAAACTGACTTTTGGCACCCAAATTGGCTTGAACTCTCTTTCCAGTCTGACCTGCTCGATCATAGATATGTTTGCCTGCATGATCAGATCCGACAAAAGAGATAGCTTTGATCCTAGGCTCATCGCACAAAAAGTTGACCGTATCCACTCCTCCATGTACCACATTCAATACACCCGCAGGTAAACCTACAAAGAAAGACTCAGTAAGCAAAACAAAACATACATGATCTTATTGGGAAGAAGTGAAGACTTACCAGCCATTTGAGCCAATTCGGCAATCATCATGGTTGCACCGGGATCCCGCTCAGACGGTTTGATGATGAGTGAATTACCACATGCAACTATATAACAAGCAAATGATGTTCATAATCATCCCATACCGAGATGATAAAAGACACACACCAGACAAAATGCTCCATAATGGGATCATGGCGGGAAAGTTAAACCTAAAAGCGAAAAGCACACAAAGAGAATCAATTCAAGACTCTCAAAATCTTGTTCTTTGAAGTTTAAGAAAATGTAGACGAACGGGCATATAGCAGCTGTAACACCTAAAGGTGCTTTACGAGTTTCGGTATCCATATCTTTACTAACTTCAAGTTTTTCACCCATTAACAATTCAGGTAAAGCACAAGCAGCTTCGACGACCTGTAAACCTCTATGCACATCTCCTTTTGCGTCTGAAAACGTTTTGCCTTGTTCTAAGACAATCGATTTGGCTAATTCATCACTGTTGCTTCTGATTAAATCTTGAAATCTATAAAAGTTTTGAAGGATTGCATTCGTATGAGATTTGTATTTTTGAAGCTACGAATATGATCTGGGATATAAATAGCTAACCTTAACATGACTTGTTGACGAAAGAGGACTGATGAATTTTTCCATTCGAGGTAGGCATTCTGAGCACTATCGACAACGGACTTTAACTCATCGTTCGTTGATTGTGGGACCCGCGTTAAAAGAGCTTGCGTTGCCTGAAGACCCAATTGCGAAAGTTTTAGCAAAGTTGATGATGATTTGATTAACCAAGGGTATATGGACAGAAGTGGCCTACTGGATTATTGACATCGATCCATCGTTCCGTCTTACTCTTAACAAAGCTCCCATTGAGATAAAGTTTCGTATCGGATCCATCAATGCTGGTTCCTTTCCAAGTTGAAAGCGTTCGAGTACCAGTAGAAGCTGCCATTTGAGCTCGACTGGAAGCAGCGCGAGGTAATGAGATAGGGATAGACCGGTTGAGCATGATGAAGTTTAAGTGGTTGATTGAAGCGATCGACAAATTGTCTGAATGCTGAAAACTTCATTTCAACTGTACATAATCAAATTGTCTCATCTCCGTAAAATTAACTGACCTTAAACATAAATGAAAACAAACCAACTCGGAGACACCACTCAGTAATACAAGCGGAGAGATGGCACTCTTGGTATTCAAGCCGACTCAAGCTCACCAATCTTGCACAATATATCGAGAAAGACATGGTCATGCATTTGGATGCGATGCTAGTGTTTTTAACAGGTCAAGCTTTGAAAAAACACGAGTTGTTCTCAGTGAGAACACGAGTGTTTTGAGCAAGAAAAGTACCTAATTATGGTACCAGAGACAAAGATAAGAATGAATGAGAAGAGGAATGACTAGGCAGGAGAAAACATTCATTCGGATATATAAAAGTAATCACGTAGAACCCAAGGTACAAGTCAATAGATTGAGAAGGAACCAAATATTATGATATCAGAACAACACAAATAGGATGAAAGGCATCATAGAGGACATTAACAACGACGATGCGATTATAAAACATGAGTGAGTAAAGAGTAAATTATCCTGATCGTGTTGAGGTCATACCCCGTGGATGATCTTGAAATAGGTCATTGTATCGCTTGATAGGCTGTAAATCATCAGATTTCAAGTCACTCTCTTTACTTTGAATCACGGCAGAGATTTCATCGTTAAGTATATCCCATTCATCTGAAGAATCTCCGTCTTTGTGGGTTTCAGTCTTCAGATCAGATGGCGGAGAAGCAAGTCTGATGTTAGTCGACTTCTTTTCGGATTCCTTCACCTCACCTTGTTCTGGATTTGAATCTGGTTTGTTTGAAAGTCTATTAGGTGCACTTTTTTTGGCTGAAACCTCTGGTGTAGATGATGAGTGAGATTTAGAATCATAAAAGGAAGGGTAAATTTCCTGCAAGGGTTTGTGATTATGTGGGTCGTCTTGTTTTGTCAGTTCATGGTTACCAGGCAGACGAAAACCTTTATTGTGAACAAGATCAACAATGTCATGATCAATGTCTTCCCATAGTTTTCCTTCATCTACAACCGGAGCTGGCTCGTTAGGGTCATACTCTTCTACTGGCACCGTCTGTGCCGGTTGAGAACCATGAGCTGACATCGAGCCTATAGGATGAGTCTGGTCAGCGATCGACTGATATAAATGGGTGGTGTCGTTACTCACCTTGAGATGGTTCGACAGAGATGGGCACAGGTCCCCAGCTGCCACTTTGACGTCTCCCTTGATGGTATCCTGGAGCTGGAAGCTGCACATACTCTCCTACTGGTAACGTTTTCAGCGGTTGAGAATGATGAGCTGACATCGAGTCTACAAGACAACTCTGCGTATTGATCAAGTGATGGAAGCGATTGGTACCGATACTCACCTTGAGACGGTTCAGCGGAGATAGACACAGGCTCCCAACTTGCATTTTCCCGATTCCACCGCAAGTACCCATTAGGATTTCGGGTCTGTATGGACGAATGGGAGTACTGCCCATTACTGATCTTCGGAGCGAAAAAGGCTTGAGGAGGCGGATTGATTTGAAAACTATTCGGAACTGAAAGTTGATAATACTGAGGTGCATGTGGATTGAGACCAGGAAGTGAAGCTGGACTAGCATGGTACTGCGGAGAAGGAAGGTAGCCGTTCTGATTTAGATGCTTGGTATTCACCGCGCTGTTCCATGGTACGGATCCTGTCAATGGCGGAGATGAGGTTCGGGGCTTCTGTGCCTTTGCAGGTTCCATAGAATGGCTCCCTGATGGAGGTCTGCTGGATGATTGTAATCTTTTGAAATTGAAGCGCAAATTCTGTACGCGCCGGTTTTGTCGGAAGTTGGCATTGGTTTGCGCGACAGCTTCTGACAGATTATCCGATGGAGTTGTGAAATTTTAGAGCATATACCGTGAGCAGGATCATAGGACGGTGAGACACCATGAGAAAAATTGATAGTGGAATGATAGTCTTACCTGGACTCATGCTAGGGTTGGTTGCCTCAAGCTCTTCCCTCATTGAGTATCTTGGTACCCAACCATGCTTTTGAGCTAAAGAAGACCTCGTAGCTTCCACTAGCTTTGGATTAGGAATAAATGATTCTGTTGCAAGAGCAGAATTGCATAATAAGAAAGCGATTGAAGAAAAACTTAGAAGTTGAGATTTTGAAAAGTGTGAGGATCGATTGCCGCTTTCTTTTCCCATCACGTTGAAGAGTTCTTGAAAGGCTTGAATGGATTGCTGAAGAAAATGATCAACTAGTATCGCGCTATGGACAAGTTTGGTTCTGTAGGATCAAAGATGAAATTGAACTATGATATAAGGGAAAATGTGCAAGTTTGCGCTGAGAAAGATAAGCGTCATGGTGGGCTAAAAGTTTGGGACTTTATAGGATCAATTTGAAAGAAACCTTCTGCGTCAATAAACCAATGAAACGTATTAGATAAATTATTGCTTCATCCTCTGAAGTAGCTTACAACAATCGAGACAAGATGTGTCTGCGCCGAAGTCGAGGTGAAGCCAGACCCAGCAGATACACCATGAAGCCTACGGTTCTCAAGTTGTAAATCAAGCCTGCGTACCAGCAGCGGTTCGGCGTGAATGTAGAATCATTCTCATGTAAAAATATTTGAGAAAATGGCCGCAGTTGACAAAAGATCCGACTCTATTTCATCAGAGCTGATATGTACCAGGACATGGTGAGATGTAGTCCTTGAACTTCTGAGATTTGGTATGGAGGTGATTTGGACGCGGACAAAATTTGACACTTGGTCTCAACATGTGATCAAACATACGAACTTTGTTCCATTTACATATGCACTACGGGCGTAGGGGTGGCACATGAGTCTTGTGGTGGTGAGCTTGACTGCAAGGTCACTGGCACAACTATGCGTTGGCACTGCGTGTTGGAGCATGTACCAAAGTTGGAATTGCGTTGGTTGACTGTTTTTATTTAGAAAACTTCAAAGCATAACACGTGAAAATGTTACAAATACTGAAAAATTATAAACTAGTCAGGACAATGGGTCTTTGTAAAAGAAAGTTATGATCAAAGAGTGTGATTTTGAAATGAGTGTAAAAAAGATTGAAATGTAATGATCAATAAGTACGAATTGGTTTGCTAAATTTTAATCTAATTCATATGAACAAAGAAAGAAAAGAAGTGAGTTATGCTGTTAGAACTTGAGAGTAGGTAAGCCTTGGTTTCTCCATATTACTGGTGATCGGTGCTTCATTAGTAGGCCAGACATGATGATATTGGTTTGGAGATAAAAAGTCAAATTCAGGATACTTCAGACCGAGAGGTCGTGATGATCGAGTCATTTGATCTCCATCGTTAGAGGTTCCGATAGGCTGGTGATTATTAATCTTAGGGTGAAATCTTGGATCCTTGTCAATATCAGAGAACCCAGTCTCGCTTTCCTCAGGCAAATTCGGGTTCTTCCAAGATGTAGCAGTATGTTCATAGGGATTCGGTACTTCAGGTTTATGGGGTGAAGTGAAATAGAAATCATGAGGTGCAGGCGCCTTGAAACCGTTGTGGTTGACGATGTCATCAATATGAGGCAAATCATCTATCTTAAAACCTTCCTGGTGACGATACTTATCAATTTCACCGCCAAGATCTTCCCATTCTTTGCTGTGATCTAAAACTTTTTCAGAATCAGCGTGATTCTCATAATGTGGTACATCCTGCGATTGTTGGGATTGCGGGTAAAAATATCCTAGATACCCACATTGAAGAAGATTGAGATCAGTGCTCAAATAGTGATAATGATTCAAGTCTTATTGCTTACCTGTGCCATCCTTGCGTGCTACCTGATAACTTGGAGCTGGTTCGTATGAGTATGGATGAGCGTACTGTGCGTGTGCGACGTCCGGCAGGATATAATGGTTCAAACCATCGGACCCTACGTGCTGCGCTGAGTATGGTGGCTGATTGAGACCCGCATCATGAAAGTTGTGCAGATTTTGATAATGCCCTTGAGATGCAAATTGATTATGATTATCAACTGCCAGTGTCTGCCACGAAGGATGGTTACCCATATGATCCAAGTTACCAGATTGAATCTCGTTGGTCCAGTGTGGTGGTGTATATGTCGAGATAGTTGGAGCGATAGATGGATTAGCTTGAATCTTGTTGGTCCAGTGTGGTGGTGTATACGTTGAGATAGTTGGAGCGGTAGACGGATTAGCTTGAATCTCGTTGGTCCAGTGTGGTGGTGTATATGTCGAGATAGTTGGAGCCGTAGACGGATTAGCTTGAAACTCTTTGCTCCACGGTGGTGGTGTATAAGTTGAGAGAGGTTTAACATTCAAGGCCTTATGGACCTCCGCCAAAGGTTTTTTACTGATCTCCGCTTCTGCTTCGTAAAACATCTCATTGATTTCTCGATTAGTAGCAAACCGGCCTTTTGCGGTGATCCCATTTAACCGTTGTTGTACTATATCCCTGTGTTGCTGAGTCCAGGTTAATAATGATGGAGCCCCAGGCCGTTCAGAAGCAGATGGTATTTCGTTAGATGTCACCGAGTCAGCGTCTGTGGGAAGTGGTTGATCTTTGACACTCTTCGTGGGTGCTCTGTAAGAGCTATCCAAGGGGACTTTGAAGTTTAACTGACTATCAACATGGGAATGGAAAACAGTGCAGCAAATAACATAGAGAACCACTGACTCCATTTGGTCTTGGGTGGTCCTTTAACCTTATCGCTTGAGAAGGTTTTCACCGCTTTTTCAGAAGTTTTTTCAGATTGTGAGAGCTCCATGACAGGCTCAGCGGCGATTTTGGATGCTACCTCCACATCAGAAGCAATTGTTGGTAGTGAAACGACAGATTGAAACGATTGACATAATAAGAAAGCGATCAAACAAAAGCTTCGAAGTTGAGATGCGCGAAAGCACGGCGTTCGAATGTGATTTCCTTTTTCCATGACGGTAAAGAGACCTCGTATAAATGCTGGTAGGAAATGATGGAAAAGATGATTAGATAGCTTCTAAGAATAAATCGAAAAACGCGAAGCTAGCTACCAAGTTCCTGAATGGTACTCACAATGTAATTATTAGACTGAAGAAAAAAAATGACGTTCGAGCGGATGGACAACCCTTTCCAAAGACAAAGAGTTCCCACTTTTATGGTCAGATTTAAATCCTTAAAGACTCTGAATCTTGCTACTTCCCGCAAGGAATTGAAACATGTCAGTGTAGGTTCGCAATGCATTGAGGTCGCTTCTGAAAGATGTTCGAGACCGGGAAGACCTACACCAAAGCCGAGACAGATCAAGACCCATCACTACCTGGCACGCGTACACTTCTCTTGACCAGAAAGCCTTACCAGTGGGGAGAGAGGTGAACAGTTTAATCGCTGATATCCCTTCCACACAACTGGATTATCCCTTTGTTCATGTGCTCTCCCCAAGGTTAGGTCAGACTCACCGTTTCGATCTCCAGCATATGTAAGTTGAGGTGACAAGTCTCACATGGGATTTGTTAGAGAATTAGTGCCGAGCAAGGCAATCTGTGAGGTCTCAACTTGGAAGCAAGCTGTCAGAGAGTCACGCGGGCCATCCGGACCGGTGGCCATTCGGCATCCGGGTGTACCTTGAACATGCAGATCATTGCCGGGAGTGAGGACGATGAGTTTAACAGGTCTTGTTTTGAGAGCACTAGCCTTCTAGGGCTCAGCCTCAAATACGGAGCTCTTCAATCATAAGTCTCAGCGTCCGCGGATAATTATTTGACCTCATTGTCTCTTGAAGTCTTGACGGAGGTGTAAGTAAATCAGATTCTTCATACACGTATCCCACCATTTCATGATCTGCCTCTCAAACTTCATCTCACAAAACCCCTGAAAAGACCTATTCAAAACCCCTTCACTCCACTTCTTGCCTTGTTCTTTCTCTCTTTCTTTGTTCTTTCTCTCTTTCTTTGTTCTTTATTTCTTTCTTTGTTCTTTCTCTCTTTCTTTGTTCTTTCTCTCTTTCTTTGTTCTTTCTCTCTTTCTTTGTTCTTTCTCTCTTTCTTTGTTCTTTCTTTCTTTCTTTGTTCTTTCTCTCTTTCTTTGTTCTTTCTCTCTCTCTTTGTTCTTTCTCTCTTTCTTTGTTCTTTCTCTCTTTCTTTGTTCTTTATCTCTCTCTCTCTCTTTCTTTCTACCTCAAAAAAAAGTTGCAGTTTTAAATCCATACCATTCTTTCTCAACTTTTTTTCTTCAAATATATGTACATAACACTTCACAAGATAAAATATAACTCTCAAGTTTTTCAATTTTTTAAAAAAAAATCATGATCAAAGAAAAAAAAAAACTAACAACTCACTGTCCAAACCCTCCAAACATTAAAGTAAATAAACTTGAACATAAAGATAAAGAAGAGGAATTAAGAAAAAAGAAAAAACTTTAAGAGAATTGCAATGTAAAAAAAATGGAAAATATGCAATAAAAAAACTTCTCTTTGTCTCTTGATATTTAAGATTTGAACGAACGAAAAATGTAAAGATCAAAAAAAATCAAAGTAAAAAAAAAAAGATGAGCAATTTAAATAAGATATAATAAAAAGACTTTTGTTTAAAAAAAATAAAAATAAAAAATGATAAAAAAAGGTCTTTCAAAAAAGAAAAAAAAAAGAGGATAAAAAGGATCAAAAAAGATAAATAAAATTAAAAAACGAAACTAAAAAAAAGTAAAGTCAAACTCCAAAAAAAAATCAAAACAACCTCAACTAAAAAATGAACCAAAAAAAAAAACAACTCCCTCCATCCCATCCCATCCTTTAATGTATAGCAGTATTAATCAACTGTCTCAATTTCCTCGTACCTTTCTTAGCCACACCAGCGGTAGTAGACCCAGTATGAGACTGAGTAGGCGTCATGATCCCACCCCCTCCTCCTCCTGTCCTCCTCCAATCAAAGGTGAAGTAGTAGTACTATGAGTCGACATGATTTTAGATCGAACAACTGTACTACTACTATTATTATGACTACTACTACCACCACCACCACCTCCTCCTCCACTTGTTCCATTATTCTTAACCCCATTTCCTCCTGCTCTATGTTTCCATTTATACGATAAAGCATATTGACTCTATAAAAGACCAAAAAAACAGTTAGATCAACAGGAACCAAATCAAATACGAAATCTTTCATCAAAACCCACATCTTCACTCAAGATCGGTGATCTCATAATCAATCCTTCAATCCGATCTTCCACTTCAATCTCCGGTGCTAATTTCCCACACTCAATCACATTCGCACAAGCCTTTGCAATCTGTCCAAACTTAGTCCAATTCACTTTCCCATCTCTCATATCATCTTTAACTTCATTAACAGCTGTGATATCTTGTAAATAAGTACCACTAGAAAAAAATTCATTCCCAATTTCATCAAGAAGATCAGTTTGTCGGTTTCAAAAGGAGAAATAGTAAGAAAACAACACTAACAGATAAGGTACACATTGTGCAGAAGCAGTTTGTCTTGCTAATCTATAAGCCGAAAACGATCTTTGTGAACTCATTAATCGTTTTAAAGAAAGGTATCGACGATAAGATTGTAAATCCATATGTTGGACGATCTCAAAGGTAGCTTCTAATCTATAAACCGGTTGAGCTTCGATTCCAGCCAAGACTCCCATCTAATCAAATTCAAAAACAGAAAAAAAAGAGAACATCAACCCATCAGATCAATTTTATTTGAACTAAACCAAAAGAAGAACAGGACAAGATTCGAAAAACAAATAACAAACCAATGAATGAAAATCATCCATATCTCTTAATTCGTATGCCACTTTCATCAACTTTAACAAAACTCTTGCTCTAGATTTCAATTTATCTTGAATCAAAATCATCGAACTTGCCCTGTCAAAAAAAAAGAACCCATATCATACATCAGCCGAAATACATCCACAGACATGTTTTTTCTTCGTATTTGATAATATAGACAACTCACCAAGCAGCAAGATGATTTAAATAATCAGTAGAACGAGCGATAGGTGAATAAGGATCTCTTAAAGCCACCCTAGGATTCTTAGGATCTCTAGGAGCCAAAACATATCTAATCAAATGTCTTGGCTAAGAAAAACCAAGAAAAGAAAGTAAAGAATGATCAGATCTACCATCTTCCAGCCATCAAACTTCAGATAACACACACACACACCTTCATTTCAGCAAAGATATCCCATTCAAGTCTAGTGATTTGTAATGCTAAAGCTTCATCCGACAAACTTAAGATTTGATTAGAACAATCCAACAACGATTTGTTTTCAGCTTTCGAATCTAATCCAATCGAAGATGAACCAGCACCAGTAGTTTGAGATTTCAATCCAAACGAAGATTGAGTATCTTGATTATTATTAATCGAATGTCTAGACGTTTCATCTTGTTGTTGTTGTTGTTGTTGTTGTTGAAGAATCACATCTGAATCATCTTCTTCATCTTCTTCTAATCTAGTATTGGAAGGTGATAAAGTACTAGATAATGAATTTTTCAATCTCAAAAGATCATCCAAGATTTTAGCAATCGATTCAGGTTCAGTTGTATCCGGTAAGGCCCATCCAATATCTTCATCTATCATTAAACTTATCGTTTTCGTCATCGGTAAAATCTCCACTGCATAATGTAAAAGCCATGTAGCTGATAAAATTAAAGATGTAAATCCTTTCAAGACTTGTAATGTACTTGGTTTTACAAAATCTCCTGGATATGCTTCTACCCATGTCATCAATACATGACAAATCCTATATTCAAAAGAATCAAAGTGGTTGTGTCAAAAATCTTGTTCAAACAAAGTTATCGATTCCAAACAAAAATAGGCCTTCGAACTCAACTTCATTTGTGCATAACGAGTCAAAAGAGGATCATCTTCAAGATGATAAGAAACAAATTCAAATCGATTGATCAAAGCGCTCAAAACATCAAAAGGTGTAGAAAACCTTCTAAAGACAATCAAGAAATGATCTACAAAACTTGGTTCTAACGATTCCCATGATCACAAACTCAAAATGTTAGTTTCAGTAGTCAAATGAACTAGGGAAGAAGAACTGATCATCGTAAGACTGTAACTAACCATTTCCACTGACAGTAGCAAAAACAAACTTATCAATAATCGTTTGTTTATCTAAATGCAAGTCCATCTCGGATCCACGTCTATTACCAATCAAACAAAAAAGCCAGTCAGTCTAATAGACAATAGAGATTTGAAAAGATAGATGATCACTCAACTGGCTCATGACAATGGCTTTCTGAGCAGCATGACGACTAGTAGCATCACTAGACATCGCACCAAAACTTGCTGTTGTTGCTTGATTCTCATCATTCTCATTTGGATCCTTCTCATTGATCTCTCCTGTGTTTTCTAATGAAAAAGTTGATTCAATAAGTCAAGCTCAATCATTTCTGGGTTCAATCTCATCACAGTAACAAGAAAGCTTACCATTTTCGTCTGACTGATTCTAAAGGAAACGTTGGTTTTCATCAGTATCAACATACATCGATCTTCAAGAAGCGGAGAAGAAAACTCAACTTGATCACTCATCTTCACTTCTCCATCAGCCTTGAGTTTGGGTGGTGGGGGTGAAAGATCCGATGATTGAGATCGAGTGACTGAATCGGACGAAGTTCGAACGTGTTCCTCATCATGATGACTACCAGAGTCTAAGATATGAGTCGATGCACTACTGTAAGACCGCGGTTCACCTATTCATGGAGTCAAAGAGTACAATTCATCAAGATTTTGACGCAAATACACAAAGGTCTCTTTGGTAATCACTAGATCGAGAAGTAACAGACCTCTAGCTTCTCTGATCGCTTTCATGATCCAATTAAATGAATTCCTCATCTTCTTCCCCGGATCTTCCAAACCTCCATCGAGCTGGATCATCCCTTTATTGTAGTACGGATATAGATTCAAATCAATATCAAGCAATGAGGTGCACAAGAGAAAAAACACGCTTACCAGTTCCATAGACATTAACAAGTTCCGCAGCCTTGATTGGTGAAGTTAGATTGAGCTTCTCATCTTTGTTTGACTTACAAGCCAAGACGATCAATGAGATCCCTCCTCTGGTCCAAAATGAATCTGTTGAATTTCCCAAAGGTTTCCAAAAGAAATCTTCTTAATACAGAAGAAAGGAAGCAAGAGGATGGAGTGGGTCGATGAATCTACTACTTACGTAAAAGAGGTCGTAGATGATCCAACGCAGTAGGATCCATTGCATCATAACTAAAAGTGATAGTGCATACCAAAGATCAGATACTTCATCCTCTTCAATAGAGACCAGCTGAGACATACCAGAGTAGAATTCCGTCGAGAGAAGGTAACCTCTTTGGCCAAATCATACCTTCTTTCTTATGGTCTTTTTTAATAAACTGTTCAGAAAGGATCAATTGATCCACCTCCAAGACTTGTACAGTCCTACTTGCTCCTGCGGTTCCATTCGACACTTGTGATACGTATGAGATGACTGTGATTGTAAAGAAAGGATGACGTCAGTTCAGGACTAAGAAAGGTCATAGCAAGAAATATCAAGACTTTTATTAGCTTGGAGATCCGAGTATAAAGTGACCGAGTTTGTCACGGGTTTTCTCAAGGCACGTGTGATGATCGTAGATTTCCCTACGCCCTTTGGCCCAGCCACACCAATCGTGAAATCGGCTTTCGAAGCTAGTGCGGCTCTCTATGTCACACAAACAAATGAACAAGGGGATTAAGATACTTGAATGAGGGATTGGATCATGTCAGAAAGAGTGAGAGAGAAACGCACAGAAGCTGGCGTGTCAACAAAATAAAGATCATCATCATTATCACCATCAGATCCGACTTTGACTTCCTGTTTGTCACTGAGTGGCGGGTTACTCAAGGCAGAAGGATTCTTAAGAGTACCATTGAAAATATCAAGGTGATGAGAATCGATTGAACCAAGATCATCAAGATGAGGTCTGTCTAGAATCGGATAATGATATTGAAGTTGATGATGGATCTTGTAAACTGTTTGGCTCGGCGAACAAGTGTATCACTGAGACTTCGAGCCCTGGGTGATCTATTTTGATCAGTTTTTTCAGAGCCAGGTGAGGTGAGGTTAGCAGTAGCCGAAGTCGAAGTCGAGGAAGCAGTGACAGGGTCAGGGAAACCACCGATGGGAGCGGTATGTGGTGCATCTAATGCGTTATGATACAGACTCGATCCTGTACTTTGACCTGTGGTAGGAGTGCTTTTGATGATCGGGTCAGTGATAGCTTTGAATCTCATTTCAAGAGGATCAAGAATACGTCGATTCCTGAGACTATTATTTGGTCGATCAAACGAGGGTTGTTGTACACCTTTTCCGATTCGAAATGGTAGTGAATTGGAAGAAGAAGATGATAGATCGGGTGATAATCGGTTCACAATCTTGGAAGAAGGTAATCGAGGAGGATTACGGTTTGAGGTAGACGCTGATGGATGGTCGCGTTGCAAATATTGTCCGATATGTGGTGAATCAGCTGAACCGGTACTGGATAGATGCATACGACGAGCATGTGGCTTGGTTTGCGAGGAATGTGTTTTGCAATCATCCAAAGCACAATCCAAACATTTGCGTCGATCACCCACTTCTTCCTCTTCTTCTTCCTCTTCGCCTTCTTCTTCCTCATCTCCATCTTCCTCTTCTTCCGCTTCTTCATCTTCATCTTCTTCAGCATGCGTAGAGACTTGATCTTTCAAATGATTGTTACGTCGATGACTTGCATGAAGGTGATGAGTAAAGTTTTCATGCCTTGGCCATGGTACTTCGTCGATATCTTCTTCTAGAATGTCATCTTGATGATTCTGGATTGAGTTTGTAGATGACCAATCTGGTTGACTATTCCCAACCTGTGACGAGTTCTGGTGATGATTAGATTTATGATCGATTGAAGACTGTTGTGAATGTTGGACTGAATGAATAGAAGATTGAGTTGCAAGTTGAGGGGATGAGAGTGTGGATGATTCGAATAAATGATCAGTGCTTTTACTAGACGGGTGTTTCGAAGAGGTCAAAGAAGATTCCGATGGTTTGGATTTGTTAATGTTCTGATTTGGATCTTTGATTGAGCTCTTGCGTTGAGATGATAGTCTAGGGTGTTTTCCATCGTTTTGTTGATGCTGATGGCTAGAGGAGAGATGAGATTGAATGTACTGATCTAATGAGAAACTAGCCCGAGTTCGAGCAGCTGAAGTCGAAGCAAGTGAAGAATAGTTGGAAGAGAGTGGACTAGCACTATGAGGATGGTTTGGATCACGAAACTTATTATCGATTGGAATATCAGCTAGATGATGTTGTTGTTGTTTGAGAGTGAGTTTCTTGCTACCAGTTGAAGTTGAAGTTGCAGTACCACCGAATGGAGTGTGAGTGAAACCAATCTTATTCCAAATCGTCTCTCTCTGTTTAGGGGTATGTGGCATGGTCTGATTTGACTGAAATGCGGTTGTTTGTTGATCGGATTGATCTGACAAAGGAAATTGAGGGAATTGTTTTGATGATTGATTGGAAGAAGACTGTTGTTGTTGAGAAGTAGATGGTAAGAGAGTGAAAGAAGACTGACTAGCTTGATGTTCTAAGGGTTGAGAGTTGAGTTTGTGTTGATGATGATTATTGATTTGAATATGCGCATTAGATTGATCATGATGAGGATTGTTCGATTGATGTTCGAATGAAGGTTTGTTTGAATGAAAATGAACCAAGTTCAATAGATTCTTCACTGTAGATGGTTTGTTAGATTGATTTGAATTTGACATTGAACTCATGTTCAGATTATGATGAATGAGATCTTGTTGTGAGTTTGAATCAGTCTTGATTGTAGTTTGATCAGATGGTTCATAATCTACTAGATGGAAATCCGTTGAAACTGGAGTGAATTCAGGTAAAGTGAGTTGATGAGTTGAAGTTGAAGAGTTTAGATCAAGTTCATTTGGAATTCGATGTTGATTTGTAGATGGTTGGTTTGGTATTAGTTTATTCAATAGTTTGTTTGATTTAGAATGTTGTAGATCACTTGATTCGATGGTTGGATTCGATGATTTCTTGATCGGTGGTCTCGAGAGTGCTTGTAATAATTCCGATGGAATGATTGGTAATGGTGGTGATTTGACTGTTACACTTGAATTGGGTAAGTTAGGTACAGCTGATTTGTTATGAGTTGATGAAGTAGGTGTGGTTGAGTTCTCATGGTTGGTTTGATGGTTTGTAAATGGTGATGGTGATGGTGAAGGTGAAGGTGAAGAAGTGAAAGATTGCTGTGAGGGATGATGAGTCATGGTTGGGTGATGATTAATTTGTAATTTCTTGATTTTCAACTTTGCTTGTTATTTTTGATGATGATGAATGGTTGAAACGATGAGAAGTTATAGAAGAACACTCTAGTGACTAGTCCATCAGAACTCACACTGTGAAGACTGAAGACTGAAGACTGAAGAGCTGTGAAGAGTGCTGCTGGTTTTGGATGTGAAAAGTTTTGATTTAAATTCTTCTTCTCTTCTTTTGCTTGCTTAATTTCAATTTTCAATTTACTACTGAACTTTATTGTCACTCTTCTTCTAACTCGTACTGGTCCTCTCTCAATTCAATCTCAATTTCAATTTCATTTTCAATTTCACATCACTCCATCCATCTCCAGCCATCTTCCAGCACACTCGCTCTTCCATCTCACATTTCATTTCATTGTACATAGTATACACTTTGGATCACTCATTCAGCTCTTATAATGAAATCACTCCACCTAAGACTTCCTGATTATATATTCTCTGGAGTGAACATCAAAGTGTTTTCATATCTTGAAGATGAATTTGTGAAAGATTGTCTATGCTTAGATCTTCCTAAGTATCTAAGAAAGCTCACATCTATTGTGACACCCCTTCGTTCCGTTGCAAGAAGCCCTTGGTTCATATATATGGTGATTACAAGCTTTTATTAAGACAGTACCATTTCTAATATCAAAGAAAACAGGCTTAATAAGCTCATCATGAAATTATGACCATGAATGAATTATGGTCTTTATAACGTATGGATTGGGAAACACTGGTGCATGGAACAAATAGCTCCTCTCAGTAGATTCTTTCAATATATCAGAAAGATGACGCACCATGAATTACATAGATGAGTACAAAAACAATCTGATCGAAAGGAGAAGAGAAACATATAACAAAAATGGTACATCCAAGCCACTTTGCCTGGAATGAAGCATCAAAGTGCTTTCCATTTCATCGTGTAAGATGTTTCTGTGAATCCTAAGTACTTTCCACAAAGCTCATCACAGTCAAAGTCTAACTCACAGCTGGATTTGTTTCCATATTTGAACACTAGGTTTGATCCCAAGTTAAAGCTAGTACATAGAAGCTAGTCAATTCTTCGATTTAAAACAAAAAGTCGTAAAGGAAACTCTGAATTTTCGCTTACACTCCGAATACCCTGAGTTGTTAATCTGTGTCGGATGATTGACAAGGATTTTAGCGTGTGTATCACCTTATGAGAAAACTATTGGCTATCATAAGTATGACCCAGTGTGCTTTTTATAACAAATTCGAGGACAGCCACGTCAGTTCTCTTCTCCATGAAGGGGTCGGCTTCCACCCGGCTTCCACACGGATGAATCAAGAGGATGACATCATGATGATATGGAAGCTTCCGCTGAGGAACCGAGACTAAATCTGCTATGTACCACTCTACACTAATGACGTGACTGGCTGAGGTGCAGTCCACAAGACAGGCCTCAGAAAGCCTCATAAAAAAACAAATACGCAAGCACAATTATGGTGTTCAAACATGTGCAAGAACTCTGCAAGACCGACGCGCAAGATCCGTGCAAGATTTTATGTACATACTAATCTTGCACATTAATTATTTTGACAACCCGCGTTATTGTGTTCCAAACCGTGCAAAAACTTGCACAAATTTATTTTGAAGTTTGAACACCATAAAGATGACTGTAGAGAAAGCAAATGAAATTGATCATGATATCATTGTCATTATATCCAGGTTGTACTTCTTTCCAGCTTCAAAAAGGTATGGTCCCAATACTTTAGTTAAAATATCAGTTTTTTGATGCTTTGATCCTACTCAATGTAAAATTACCATGCCTCTAAATAATTGCTCAGGAACATAATCAAACTCTTTATCTGTCTGCCTTGTTGTTTTGTTATGTATATAAATGACTTGCCACCATGTTATCACAAAATAATTTTACTCGTCCCATTGCGCCCAATACATCTTCCACTAAATTTCTCAACCACAGCACCTCTCTTGCTGCCATTCCATATACTTTGCACAACATGTTGATGTTGTTATACAACCCTGACACTTTGGAGTTCATGCCAAAGAACAATCTAGGAAGAAAGTGGCATAACCATGTACTGATTTTGGGTACTCCCCACCCCAGTTTGAATCAACATAAGTATGTAAGTCTGTCTTGATCTCATTGATCAACAGTTTCAAATATAATTTAACCAATCCAGTGGTCTTCAGATATTGTAGAACACCTTGAGAAGCTGTCCAGTGTTGAGTAGTTGGTCTGGCAGTGTATCTATGTATGTTAAGTCAGGTGGTGTTGCCACTGCTAGATTTAGAGAACCAATCACCAAATAAGTATTTTTTCTTGTCAATGTTGTGTTTGTCTTCTCTTGGTGATGTTGGTAATGGAGAGGAATTCAAAGGTGTTGTCAATTTTCCTGGTGTTTCTAGAAACAATACCAGAATTGCTCCGCTCCATATAGTGGTTGCAGAACAAGCAGCTGGGGAATCCGCTATATGCACCCATATGTAATATACTCTTTTTATTCAAATTAAACTTTTCAAATTCATTGTTGAACTTTATTGTTCTCATCCTACTAACCTTTCTATTTGATATATGTCAACAAAGCACAAGAAGCTCTAATATGAGGTAAAGAAATGCTGGTAAAAAAGTGGTTTCTTCAAGAGTAAGTTCTGAATTCTGATATTCAATTAAATTGGTAGAACCATTATTCTTTTGAACTCAATCTTATTATTTTGATGATTTAATGGTTGGTCTTGTGATTTCTTCATCTACTTTGATGAATACATTTTGAACAATTTCTCAATAATTTCATCATCTAAATTATCAATTATAATTCTAGTTCTACTACTGTTTAAAGTTATGTTTGACCAAACCTTTCGAAATGAATGGTAGTTGAAACTTGTTTTAACTTACAGGAATTGGGGCCGGCAAAGTGGCTTTGAAAGACAATCCAAGTTTGTGGAAACACATCCCCAAAAAACTTTCAGAGAAGATCTTACTAAACACATGGTTTTTAACACAGCAGTAGCTCACATAGCTCTTTACCACTTTATCAAAAACCTTTTGATATTGTAAAAAGATCTTTCTCTTTTCCTTCACTGATTTGTATCTTATTCATCACATCCACTTTGTTATCACAATTTTGACTATCTGTTATCTCTTTTTATAATACAAAGTTGTGTTTAAGATACAACTTTTTGTACCCACCATGCCTCCCATTTCTATTAGGGATATGATTGATGTTGTAGTGACATCCCCATTGGGCTTTTGGTTGTTGCAGTTTGAGTCAGACCCTTTGGGGCCGTCATGCGTAATTTAGCAGTTGTGAACAAACTCTCAAGTCTCTCAAAAAGACCAACATGCCAATACAATTTGTCTTTCAAAGAAGATCCTTGAGAAATACTTTAGAACAATATCTGGAAAGGACAGAGAGAACTATCAAGGTGTGAAAGTGTGTGAGGGTTGGGTGCTCTGTTGAGGACTCAAGGCTCACTAAATGGGCAATGTAGGGTGTTATATTTATAATTTATAATGTTTATATTTCAAATATAAAGTAATTACAACTAAAAATATAGAAAGAAATGGGGAAAGGGCAAAAACTGGCCTGTTTGGATAAATCCAGACAGACTACAGCTAATTAACCCCTTAAAAGGAGGTTTATAATTATAATAAGTAAATGTTATAATTAATGAAGGGTGTATCCAAGGCCTTCCTTTTATCTTTTATGTAACAGATTAAAGAGTGAGATAAAGATCACTACACTGGTTGTTCTGAAAGTCACCAACTTGGGGTTGTTCTTAAGGTCACCAGCCTGAAAGTAATTGTATGTAGGTCACTAGCCTTGGGTTTTTGGAAGGTCACCAACCTAAAAGAGTTTCTACTTGGGGGAAGTAGATGATCCAGAAAAAGGTGAAGGGATTACTACTTACTTTTGGTCAGGAAGCTGATTTGAAGTTATGAAGTTATCACTGGTCTTATATTCATAAGACTCTTGATATTACTTCAATAGAACATTAAAGTTGTTCTTTGAAAGTATTATGTAATAATTGCTTGGGGGGAATCTTTGACGGCTGAGAGAGGAGGGGTTTATATACTCTCCTCTCTAAACCTAACTGTAGTGATATTTGTTACTATCACTACATTGGTTCAGGATTGATCATTACTAGATGTTATGATTATTGCTAGCAATCTTTGATTACATATACTTGTTAAGTATAATATGTAATATAGGCATTTTAACTCTTGACACTGAGTTATGAGGTGTAAATGGTATTTTACTACATGTTACATGTAGTTTTAAGTGTACATGTATATGTAATAAGTGTTTTGGTACATTGTATTACTTGTTACATACAGTCTAAGCTCAGTATGTAGCATGTAATTAATTTTATAAATAATGTTTCTAATGTTACAAGTTAGTTTTGGGTACATGTACATGTACTCAGGGCTGACAAAGTGGCTGAGCAAAGGAGCAAGGATTGAAGAGTGTGTGGTTAAAGACAGATTGAGAAAGGTTATCATCAAATGGCTGTATCTCACACTGTGAACATCATTCAACTTCCCCACATTGGAAGAGGAAAATGATTAATAGTCCAGTTTGTCATAAAAAGATCCAATACCGCTCACCTGAGCCTCAACACCCACACTACATATGTGCAGTACGCTAAGTAAATAGCTTTCTATCATGTACATACAGGTCTGCTCAGTTTTTTGCCCATTAGACTATATAAATCACATGTTATACCACATGTAACTTTTTGGACTTGAAAAAAATTGTCCCAAGAACTCACTACATATAATTCTGTAGCTGCTCAGGCAATATTTTTGAAGCTATTTCTTAGTAACAGAAAGGGCATTACATGCAGTTGAGTTGATGAGATTACACCAAAACGTTGAGTCAGTGTATGTAGTCTATCTTTTGAATGCTTTTGTCAATCTGAAAAAAGTTACAGCATGTATTACATATGAATAACTCATCCTGCTGAGCAGATAACTGAGCAGAACTGT